GAACAAGCGTCCAGGGACACACCAAAGAAAGAGAGGGGTGATCCTGAATGTTGCATTCAGGAAAACCCCAGGAAGCAAAGAAAGAAAGGGGGAAGGGAAGGGGGAGAAGGGACTAAGCTCGCGACAGGGTCCAATGAACCTTGAACAAACTTCGGTCGCTGCGACCACGTACGGCGTGCCCAGGGGCTGCCATCTTTGACCGCTACGGTCGCGTAGAGGCATGAGCCAGCTTAGAATTCCAAAGATGGGACAAAACCATCGTACGTACGGCCTAGGCCACCTACGCTCGCTGCGAGCTGCTCTGTATCCAGGCAGTGGATACGTTCGACGTACACCCGTTCGACGGGTCCACGGGAGGCACTCTGCGGGCTCATCCCGGGTTGGCACGAGGCCAAACACACTTAGGATAGGGTGTACTGAACTGAAAGCGGTGCCACACGCCGGCCTAGGGTTCCAATTCCTAAGGGAACAAGTATGAACCACGGGAACCTGGAGGACTTGAAGAGGAAAGAAGGCCCAAAGCGGAAGAAACCCATCGACGATCGTGGATCGAGCAGGCTGACGACGTTCTTTCATGTCTGCCGAGTGCATTAGCCCTTTACCAAAGGTTTAAAAATTATGCAGGTACAAGTGGTTGATCAGACCACTCATCCGCCGAAATGCCATAGCTTCGTTGGACTGGATAGGCAAATCGGCTCCAGTCCCCCTGCTACACAAGGAAAACAACTGTGAAGCTAAAACAATCCGAAAGGATCCCTATGATTGCAAGGGTTACACACACACACACACCAACACCGAGAGCCGCTGCCCGAAATGATCCAGCAGGCGATGTTCGGTCGATTTCGTCTCAATAACATGCGACTTTTGCACCCCGACCCCCGACGTTTGCATCGCGACAATTTGGCGTTCAGGTGTCCAGATCTTTGGTTGTCTTTGTCTCATCCTTTGCCTGCTTCAGCTGGTTTTCGAGCTGGGATCGAGCAGCCTGCGGCATCGCCAAAGGCGGATGGCGTGTTGATAGGGGGAAGTTTGACATTTTTGGCTGAAAACCTATTACTTGACTCACTGCTCCTGCAAGGCTCCAGAAATACCACCCCTACTGCGCGCGCAAGCACTTTGCTTCTTCACAACATGTTTTTCCTTTTGCATCCTTTTTTGTGCTCAGAATGGTGGAAATGAATGCCCGAAGACTGGGTTTCATCATGTTTCTCTTCGCTTCCCGGCCTGGACCACGCGCATTCTCATCTTCACAGCATGACGCTTTGTGACATAGCCCACGGCCGTGCTCGTCGCATCTACAGCATCCAAAATGATGTCCTTCGCCTTCTGCAAGACGGAGACAAATTGCAAGAACCACTGGGACCATTGCATGCTGCCTGAGCGCCTTGATTCTCGTTTTGGTTCCAAAACATAGACCGCCTGAGCCCCTGGGGAAGCAGAACGGCAACTGACGCCTTTTGGCGTCCCAGCAAAGCGTGGACAGCGAAGCAACACCGGCAAAGAAGTTGATCATCTCCCCTTACCCTGAACATGATGCCTTGAGGTATTTACAATGCGGTTTTTGTGGTTTTATGGAAGGCAACCTGGATAGAAGACACAATCTACAGAAGGTCTCTGTCTGCTGATGTCTACCCTAAATCCAAATTGCTGTATGGTGCATCCGTCAGCAGGAGCGATCCCCCTTCAAAAGACCCCTTGGAAAAGGTGAATACCACACGACTCCATGCCATACCTGTACACAGGTCAACACAACCTCCAATCAAACGATGTCAACGCCAGGATGGAATCAACCCAGCCTTAGCGCCGCAGCGCGGTTTTGATTCGCCAAACAATTAGAGGCCCTGGCAGTGCACTGGCTGTGGAAAAAGCGCACCTGGCAAAGGCCGTGCCCGGTGCAAGTGCCCTGGTTCCGCCTTGGATTTCATGGCATTCTCGGATGCGCTTTTTGGGGCCGTTGGGGTTTGGAGGGAAGCAGGTCACCATCTGAATGTACAACCACACCTGAAGAGTCTGGATGGACTGTGCGGCCCTTGGTGGTGCTATCCACATGAACTCTTTCCGACCCAAGGCCTTTACACACAAATAAGGCCGAGGCTGCGACCAACTACTAGAACATACTCTAGTTTGCGTGATTCATCATACCTTCGCAGTTGCCTTCCAATCCAAGGTTGGCAGTCCATGAGGATTTCACCACATACTGGCCAGTGACTGGGCTGCTGTGGACAAAAACCATCCCTAGACACACCTCAGAAATTTAAGTGCAGGGAATTTGTAAGTTGTTCTGCTTTTCTTTTGGCATCACCTCATCTTAATCTTTGTTATTTTTTCTCAGATTCATGATGGCAGTGGCCAAACCATTGTTGTCAAGTACCCATTCTCGTCCACGTGAGAGATGTTTGTCAAATTCATCGTTATGCACCCAAGACTTCAACTAGACTCTGTGACACACATCCGGAAACGTTCCCGAACTGGTCCCTGTGCCAACTTGCTATTCCAGGCAACTTGCAGGCTGCTGCGCAATCAAACGGTTGCCACCAATGAATGCTCACAAGTGTCGAGTTCAATTCATGTTTATCTCGAAGCCACTTTTTGAGGTTTATGATTCTGCCTGTCTTTCTGCTTTGTCCGCATCCAACTTTGAGCCATACAGCCAAAACCAAGACGAGGACGCATGGGCACTTCATGCCTTTTCGGGTCTTTCTCTCCCACCGCTTGTTCAAAGCCAGTGTCTGGATGCTACCGGTGAAGCCTGTAACGTCTACGTGTGTTCTCCCCCCTTTGGGTCCCAAGGTGCGGGTGGATGAAACTCCACCCCCCGTCGAAAGCAACAGACACCGACCTCCGACCCCCGAGGTGATTACAGGATGAGCGGAGGCTGCCGTCCTCAAACGACTTCACGATCTCCGTGGGCAGCACGGAATTGGTGCTTCTGAAAAAGGAGCGACGACGTCCAATAATACAAGCAAATGCCAAACGCCCAACACGTGCGGACGAACCCAAGGCGGTGTCTGAGCGGCTGAAGTTCTTTGGGCTGAAGTGGCAAGTCTGCATTGAGTCATCGGCAAAGCTGTGACGAAGGGATCATGTTTTGTCGCAGCATCCAAAGTTCAGCATCGAGTTCATCCAGCGGAGTGACAAAGAGGTGATAGTGACAATACAGGTTCCATTCACACGGACTAGCTTTTTGAAATGAAACAAATTCTTATTGACGATGTTGGATGTGGACAAAATACGAAAGGCATTATTTTGAGCAACATAGAAAATGGCAAAGGAGACCACACTGAAGAAAAGGCACAATTTGGGGCAAATCTGAGCGACTCTGGTCCTCGAGGATGAAGGGCATGCCTTGGACCAAAGCATATTGCGTTAGAATTGTCTGCGGCGGCCACTCATTCACTGCTGCTACAAACAGCTGCTTTGTATGAAGCGTCCTGCTGCTGAGTTTTGTGGCTTCAACTGCAGGCGGTTCAAGATGAGACATGACATCAACACCCACCTTCAGTGCTTTACAAGAAGTAGCATTCGTCCGTACAAGATTGTGGAAGTCTATGTGGATTCAAAAATAACGGCATACTGTTCCCTCAGCTGTTGTTTCTCCAGACTAGGCTGCACTGGACTTCGAGCTGGACACGCTCAAAACATGCACTGGACTAGCCATGCTCGGGTCTACTGAATTCTGGATGGGTATAACTTTACAGCCAGAGCGCAAAGCAGGCACGCTCCTTGGCTGTACTAAGTAGTGAGGTGCACCATTACTCGGGGAGCATGTCGCGAGTGGCTTTGAATGTTCACAGGATTGAATACCCCGCCAAAGTACGGAGCATCGCCCTTTCAATTGTCAAGCGCATCCATTATGATTCTCACCAATGCCTCATGACCCTGCTGCCACACCTTTTTGTTGTTTAAGGCCTGCTGACATCCTGGGCAACTGCAGTACATTGGCAGTCCCGCCGTTTCGATTCTGCAGCTACGGAAACGTACAGCCATGTGGATTTAGTGTGACCTATGTGCAATTGTTTATAAATAAGACACATCGCGGTGAGAAACGATATCCTCTTCCCATCCTGTTCCACATATCGTGGTGCCAAACTCTCCAGCACCTGCGCTCTCCGCACCTGCGCTGACAAACTTAGTCAAGTCTATGGCAACTGATGTGAACACTGAACGACATCACTTGGCAGCATGATAAGCCAGTTCAAGAGATGGAAAAAAAGCAAAAGGTACGGAGCCCTTTAAGATCCTCTGAACGGGGCCCTGCTTAAGGGGGGCCGAAACACATTCTTGTTTTCCTCTCTTGCCACACTAAGCCATGCTATGCTACGCCAGGGCAACAGCGCAAATGGTGTCGCCTAATCCCTCAAGGAACTGGCGCATCCGCTTGGAACTGGGCAGCCAAGAGCTCACTGCGAATTGAGCCCCGGCATCGCCTTGCGTTCCAAGCCGTGTGGACTTTGATTTGCGTGAAAGCATGCTTAAATTTCGCTAGTATCTTTGAACTTCATGCCTTGGACGCATCAAACCCAAAACAATTCAGCCAAAAACTTCAACCAGTCTCCCTTTGAGACCCAACATGTGCATGTGTGAGTCTTTCTTCAACCATTCAAACAACTTTTCTCACGGTTGTTGAAAAGCTTAGAACAAATTATATAGTTAAAAGAAACATGGTTGACCTTGCTCAACCAGAAAAGACATATTGCAGAAATGTATGAATCCGTGGCCGTTTTGTGCAAACATGTGCTTAAATGAATCGTTTGCGCCTCTTTGCAAAAACTTCTTCGCAAAGGCAGTGTTGGCCGATTATTGCAGAAATGTCTTCATGATGAATC